TGAATCTGCTCAAAAGTGAAATATGCAAGTCCTCAATAATGGAAAGATACATACATATAATTCTGCATGATTCTTGTCTGTCAATTAATAAAGTGATGGGAAAAAAGCCTAATGAAAAAAGCGTATATTCCTCTGTCTTTAAAGAAGAAGTTGCAACTTGCTAGTGCACTGAGTTATCGTGGCAGCTCTACAACATCAGGACTCTTTCAATTAATATGAATACAAAACTCTTTCAATTTATTCTTTGTTTCAATAGGGATCAATGTACAACACAGAGCTCACGTCAAAAAACTTCATCAATTTTAAAAATATTTTTGTCTTCCATTTCATACAAGAGTTCTTTCCTCATTCAAATATTTTTTTATCTCTCGACAGATATTTTTATCGAATTGAAGAAAACCCAGTTCACATGATAGCTTTTTAAGATCCAATTTTAGGTAACTGGTTCATTTTTGGGTCGGTCGGTTTCAAAACATTGATTAGTACTACCACGTTAAAAAGGCCGAGGAAATATGTAGACATGGAGTTGAAGCCAAAATGACAGTGACAATTTTTGAATAATTACATCAATATCAAATGCATAAATCACCAAAACGACAACCATGAATGAGCAAAATACCTTAATCCTTCGCGCCCACCACTCTTCTGATGCAGAAATTCTTCCCGTTGCAGAGACGTATTCGACACCAGTGCAGTCGAGTAACTCCTGGAAACGCTTATGTTTCTGCCGAAGAGAATCCCAATGATTCTTAAGCGTCGCTTGCTCCAATCATGGCCGGAGTTGGAGTTGAACAAGCGGAGGAGTGTATCACATCCATGTTTCGTGAAGCACTTGCCGTTACGGTGACCGTCCGCAATTACAGCCTCACACGCGGCAATGAACACTCGATTTTCGCGTGGATTCCATTGGGCGTTCTTTCGGGCCGATGCATGGGGCTTTATGGGAAGACTGTTGGAAGGCGAGGCTTGTACCGGTGAGCCCATCTGCAGCACCAATTTCCCGTCAGTACCGGCAAACTAGAATGCCGGAAAAAGCAAATAAAAAAAAAAAAACCCATATTTGACTTTACGAGTAGCAAACGTTGGAAAACTACTATTACCGGTTAGAAGTGACGATCCATGATGATAGGTTGGTGTTGCACAGACGGTCGACGATTGAAAATTCAAAATTCTTCTCTGTATTTACGTGGGTAGGTTGATGCGGATCGAAATCAGCCTTTTTTGGTTGAAGATGTTCGACCCTCTGTGTGAATGGTACCTCTCTGGAATCAATTCTTGCACGTAATTTTTGGCCGGCTGGTAGTGAAAACTGAAAAATTTTGAAGGGATTACATTTTTAGGGAAGAGAAAGTGGATGGAGAAGAGGTAGGTGTGGCTGTAAATGAGGAGGGCAAATGTGAAAATTAGCTAACCAAAAGTGAATAAATTTCTGCACAATGGTCAGACGTTTTTGTCCTTGGAAAGGTTTATAACGGTCGTTAAAATGCTTATAAGCATTGCCAGACATACGCTTAAATTTTGAAATTTTTACTCAATGGACTGCCCTTAAACAAGAGAATCAGTGAGCGACTGAGTATATTATTGAATTTGAGGAATTTCAAATGAAATGTCATGTCATTGAGGATGATGCCCTGATTTTGAGTAGGTTTAATCAAGGTCTAAGAGATGATCTTAGGCGTGACTTTTTCCTTAGGTGTGTCACTACTCTTAAACTCTTAATCAGGCTTACTCTTTAGCTCGAGATTTTGAGTTGATTATTGGTACTCCATATAAAACGCTTGGTGACAACTATACACCAATATCTTCAACGTCACTTCCTCTTAAATCTATTAGGAGACCTACCCCGTCAAATATTCCTCATGTGTTCAAAAATAAGGGTACAACTTTTGAAATTCCAAGAACTTCTCATTCGCAGTGCTTCAACTGTAAGGACTTTGGCCACATCTCTTTCAAATGTCATAACCGAACCTTAGTCATTGAAGAACAAAAGAATATAATAGATGGACGGTTAGATGATCAAGTCTATATACCTAAGCTTGAAGAATCCAATGAATTTGATGATAGTGAGAACACCTCCTTAGGTAGTATTCGGACGTTTCCTATGAGTCTAGGTATTGTATGTCGTACCCTCATCCAACCCATAGGTGCTGATGATTTATGTAATCATGTCATTTTAAAGAAAAATCATGGAAATGGGGATTTGTTCGTCCCAACAGTTCAAATTGCATATAACAGTTTTGTGAATCGGTCTCTAGGTCTGAGTTCCTTTGCAGTTATTCATGGTTATAAGTCTAGGATGCCTTTAGACCTTATTCTCACGTCCCCATATGCTTCTATGTCTATGTTAGTTGAGGCATTTGTACATCTTCATGATGTGCATATTGGGATCAATAAACGATTTGAAGCAAGTCATGCATTATATACACTTCAAGATGCTTTGCATAAACGACATTTTGAATTTAATATTGAGGATTATGTTATGTTGTAAGTTCGTAGTGCTAGTTCTTTTAAAATTTTAAAGCATGTTGGTCCAAATGCACCTGTCATTGATCTTTTATCACATTTTGGCTACCACTCTACTTTCAATATTGAGGATTTCATTACTTACAAATACCGTTTCAATTCCTTTGATGATCATTTTCTATTTAACTTTGTGGATCCGCAACCTTTTCATCCCAATATTTTTACTTTAATACCATCTGTTACAGCACACAAAGATACAATTGATGTTATTTTAGATGAACAGGTGGTGTTGACCAACGATGGAGAAATTTTGTGCTTCCTTACTCGTTGGGTAATGCCACCTAATGCAGATCATATTCTTGGGAACAATTTGCAACTGGCGTTGGCATCATTTGTTAAGTTTCGATATCTGGTTCTTACGAAAGATCGTTCCTTGTGGTCGAAGTTTATCCACTTGACAGGGTCGAGTTTTCTCCCACCCCGGGAGAGTTGATACGGACATCATCGAGCCTTAATTTTATTGTTATTGGGCTTTATCAGTCGAGACTTAATTTTATTGTTATTGGATTTTATAATTTATGTTTTCTATTTTTTATTGCTATTGAGATTGTAGTAGTAAGTTGGCCCAAACCCGTTACTAGCTAGGTTTTCGCTATTTATATGATTTTCATATTGTAATTTAGACAGTTGATGAATATGATGAAGTAAAGATTGGCTTGCAGCCCGTTTTCTCCCCTCTTCCTCCTCCCCTCTTCTTCTTGCTTTCCCCTCTAACTTCTTGGCTTTAATTCTAATTCATCCTGCATCAATTATATATGTATCTACAGTTACAATTATTCATTTTAAATCATAGACCCACTTTTGACTAAGTAGTTAACTGATATGCAGTGCACTGCATGGTGATGAACCAACAATATTGATGTTGATTTTCTTATTCTGAGATAGGCTTCAATTTATCTGTTGAATTTCAAGTTCGTGCAAGAGCTTTGTTGGATTTGTATAATGAACTTCGGTTTTCTATTGGTGATGATAGTGGTTACTGCTAGGGGTATGAAGGGTCTACTTTGGATGATTTTGGGCCTATTTTCGAACCAAACCGAATTTATGATGTATAAAAAGGACCTCATAGTATGTCTTTACAATCACAATACCTCATTTATTTTGAGAGAATGCTCTCCCTCTGCAGGTGATGTTCTCGATGGCTGATGAATATGTACCAGATTACGTGGACAAGAAAGCATTGGTCCATAGGCAAGAATAACTTTTTGTACGAGTTCAAAGTTGAATTTTGTTTTTTGCCGAGATTTTACTAATGTTTCCAACTTGTCCAGATTGTGCAGAGCAATGGGGGGTGCAGAAAAAGCTGAAATCGAATATGGAAATCATTCTCTATCTAATAGAGCTGAGGAAGCTGTCCAGGCAATAATCGAATTTGTAAGAAGAGATGGACGCAAAGGATGGGATGATCCATGGAGTTAATACGGTGCCCTTAAGTTTTGCTGCATGATTTTTTCAAATAATTTGTTATGCATTACATTAAAGGTTTGAGCATTGTATTCGTTTCATCGTGTAGTTCTATTGAGATTGATGGTACGTTATTCAGAATTTTTCCCATTGTAGCATCTGTTGTGAGATTTATTTCGTTCAAAGATATTGTCCAGTCGGGTTTTCTATGTTATAAAATTCTTAAATGAGCTGTCATTTCATTGCTTCACATGGAATCCTAGACACCCTTCCCCAGCATTGCTCCTCTATGATTTTACTTTATTCCCTTTTTTTCTGCAAATGAATTTTACTTAGGTGGAACCGTGGAAAGGAAATAGATGTCTGTAGTACACACAAATAGACTTAGGTTTACTTGTCTGGAAAGAGTTATCATTTATGAGACTTAAAGAAATGTGTTGTTCTTAGATTCGACAACCAAGTTTTCTTACTGGCTTGTTAAGTGTACTTGAAGTCATTAATAACTAAGTTTGCAAGTGCATGTTCGATACACAATCGTATAGTAGAATTACAAGAATTGACCGACGGACAATGATTTGAAACTTTTAAGTCTTTGGAATCCCACCTTTACATGGACACTTGAAGTTGTCTATGGATGTTAGAGCATCCCCAAAGATGATATAAAATTGGGTATAAATTGGTATTTCTAAAATCACTTTTGCATCTTCATTTACATCACTGTGGATCTAAATTTAAATTCTGCTTGAATTGAAAGATTTATATCCATTTTTTGCTTCATGGGCATTTTTTTTGACATTTTCTGTCGAAAAACACAATTTACTTAATCAAATTTTAAAACGTCACACATCAAATATTTTTCTCCTTTTCACTCCGATTGAACAAGACAAGACCAGAGGGGATAGAAAGCAAACTACCAATAGGATCAATCTGTTCGTCCAGGGCCAAGTTCATGGACGAATAGCACGGCCCCTATTAACATAGATTTTCCCATTATTTTGTGATATTATCTACCAGCTCTTCTGACAAATTTGTCGTTTCATTATTCTATTCGCAATTTATTGGTGTCGCATCGTGTATAAATTTCAACAATCTATAGTTGAACTACTAAGCTCATATTAAATTGTACGTTGAAAGAAATATTTGAGGTCAAAATCGCCCCTGCCAGGGGAAGGATTTCATATTGCGAACATATGTTCGTAAATTATGTCTTATTTTATTTACTTGCCATGAACCATCATTTCGAACTTAACTACTTAGGTGTTCAATTTATAATAGTAATTGTGATCAAATGACATTTCATTACTTGCTCAAAATTAAATGCACAAACAATTAAATTTAATGAATGGAATATGATCAACAATTTATTTATACAAACTAAATAACGAGGTATTGATCTCTTTGTTGCCTTATGTAGTAGTCTTAGTACGAAGGATATATTCTACCAATCCTTGAATTATAGGCATTTCACCCAATCTGCATCGATGTCCGTCGCCTGAATTTTTGGCTCCGGCACCGGATTAATGTTGTTTTGTCCCACCGGTCATGTAATGATGTAAATGTTGGCTCTCAGCCATTCCCCTTGCTTCTACAATCTAGAATTATTCTGAATACAATCGTAATACTTATATCAGATAATATCACAATGGTAATAGAAGTCCAAAAGTCACTCATTTTGGACGAGGAGATTAATTACCAATGAAAACTCAGATGCCTCGTTTCAACGATCTCGTTATTTCCGCACGGACTCTAAACCTTGTGATTGAACTATCATCTAGTGCTTCAATTATACCAATACATCGTCCAAATAATGTCAAACATGCTTCGTTCTCACAACTTTGTGGAACATTGTAGATTCTTATACAAAAGGAACTTAAAGACTCACAATTAACACAACTATGTTGTATTATAGTATTAGACGTGACTTGCCATTGTTTTAAGTTATTTAACTCTTTATTATGCCCTCGTTTGGGCCACCTTTTTCTCTCATTAAAATGAAAAATATGACCGTTATCTATCACATCAATATTTAAATTCAAATTTTCTATCTCTTTTGTGGCCCCAACAACGGCTATATTTTTTATTCTCATTCTACAAAAAGGTGGCTCAAACAGGGATGATTATGTTTTGTCCATCCTACGGGTCCTAAGATACATTCTATTTTCTATGCTATAGTCTAAAAAAAATCAAGAATAAATGGTTGTCTTATAATGGAACCAAGGGTTCTATCTATCAAATTAAAACCAAATATTTCCCAATTTGGTTTGGTTCGGTTCCTTGACCAAAATTTTCAAATTATTAATGCAAAGCAAAATCACAACACTAACACCACTTCAATGCAAATGACAAAATTGAAAATTTGAAAGACAAAATTAGGGCTTTGAATTTTGAAGTGTACAAAATGTTCTCTTGTGTGATCTAAATAGAGTTAATAGTGGTGTGAAAAAAAAAAAAGGATTAATTGGTGCATGTGTAAAAGATTGAAACCAAATTAGTTCTAGAAACCAAAATCATTTCAATTAAAATAGACCCAAACATAAATAAATCGACCACTTCAGTTTGATTTCGATTCGCTTTGATTACTCATGTTATTTCGCCCACCCATAATAAACTCTTTGAAAGAAAGTAAAGGGAAAAAAATAGAAGTTTAGGAAAATGCTATTCGTACACCCGAATTGACACAATTCGATGTACAACCCCTTCACAAAGAGGGACCACAACCAATAAAAAAAAATTGTGGACCCCCTCTTGTGAGAGGAGTGACATCTCGATGTACAAACAACATAACCCTACAAGTTACCCAAAATCGAAAATAATCCTCGCACGTGCAAGAAATAGGTACGTGTAACCCTTCTTCACCCGGGACCGTACTAAACAAAAAACTATCACAATCACAGCTAGCAAAAGAAGAGGATATACGTGTGAATGGCCTGTTGAAAAGGCCAAAATTCCATTTTGGCCTTTGACCAATAAATAACATAAAAAAAAAAATCGAAAATTAAGAAGTTACAATGTAAAAGGCAAAAATACCCTCATTGGAAGGAGAAGAAAAAGTCCAACCACGTGAAAACCGTCCAAATATTTCCCAAAACCGACCA